GGGAGTAATAAAAAAGGCCCTTATTATGGCCCTTCCTAGTTGAGACAGCAGGGTTTCTGGCCCCAGACTCTCCAAGCATGTGGTTGGAAAGTGGCAGGAAACCAAGCTTTCCTGCCACCTTGCTCCACACTGTAGTTGATAAGTACAGTGGGTGGAAGGGGCTGCTTCATGAAAAGGAGAGAAGTCTGAATCTTCCACCAGCAGAAAACTACAATTTTGTTTTCTGGTCTATCCTTGGGCAACACACCTATCTGCCCTTTGTTGGCAGCAGTTACAATTGAGCCTTATGACTTTGTATTATATCTGCCGCCACAGTGTCCTCAAGGGACACTGCTGTTTAGTACAGAGTATCTGCGTTGTGTATTACAAGGGTGCTTGCAATTTCTAACCTGGGATAAGTACCCAGTTTTGCTGGGTTCTGTACATGCTTATAACAAAAGGTCTTTTTGATTGCCAGAGAGCTTTCACTGTAAAGCATGATGATGAAGCTTAATTTCTGAAAGTACAGAAGCATTCTGTGGGTTTTTAATGAAAATTTGTGCAACATAAAAAGAATGCACTCTGGCACAGTAGCAAAGGCCATGTGGGTTTTATAATCCACGCATTTATCCAATAGAAATGAATATAGGAGAAGCAGACTATGCATTGCATTATTATGCAAGAACGTAGAGTCTCCTTTGTGACCAAGCATTTATGCTTATTTCATTTTTTCCAAGGTTTGTGTGCACTAATGTAATGCTAATCAGAGTAATGATTTCAAAAAGACACTTTACTAATCCTTTAAATGCTTATCCATATTAATTGAGCTTAGGGGAAGCACATTATTATTTGTCATTATAGTTAGAAGGCATACTTGCTACCTCCCTCCTCTTTATTTCGGTTTATTAAAGAATCTGTTACATAATCAACCCAACATCAAAGTTGTGCTAAGCAAGGACAGTAATTACTGTATTCTTTTTATATATATATTTAAAAAAAAAATCTTTTCCCTCTCCCAGTGAATAGAATATGTCAACATTTGAATGATAAAAGAATACAAATGTCTTTCGCTGTCTGATTTTAAATGTTGATAATAATCTAAAAGAGAACACAGCTCTGAGAGAGGTTTCTGTCGTAATTCATGCAGTGTTGTTGCCCCCACCTCCAGGAATTGAAAACTCTCATTAAAACCTTGTTGTGTGTGTATATTTGGAATGACTCAGAGCTGCTGAAAGGCCTGATCCCAAACCCTTTAAAATCCTTGGGAGACCTTCTGTTGATTTTGGTGCCTTTTGATCAGATGTAAAGGCCTTCTGTCATTTTAGGTAGTTGCTTTTGAGGAAGAGGGAAGATGATTTCAGGTTGGGCCTACAAATCTTCAGTGTGCTAATGACTCTTGTCCATGAACTGTTAGACATTCACCTGGAAAAAATGTGAGATCTCAATTCCAATTCTTGCTCCAGTAAGTTCTTGCTATAAAGCAGCAAAATATTCAGTAGAGCATGGCTTGGACTCTAGGGCTTCCTTTACTAAGCTATGAAGCCCTGCTGTCTCGCCCTCTCATTAGCAGCCCCATACCTAGACACCTGGTGGCCCCGGGCAAGCTTTTAGTATTGGGCCCCTCTTTGCCAGAGATAATGATAATAATAATAATTTTTAAATGACCATTTTCGGGCCCCCTTTCTGTCCGGCCCCTGGGCAGCCGCCCGGTAGGCCCATGCCTGTGTCTGGCCCTGCTCATTAGCCCTATATATAAATATTTTATACAGTCTGTGCAAATTGGAACAGCTCCTTTACGAGAAATTGCCCCTCCCCCTCACTTGAAAAATACCCTGTATTTTGGATCATTTTCTTCTGCAGAAGGGCATACAAGCTCAAATCCGCATAGGCTGAAGAGGAAATTTAACCTGGGTCTCCTGTGGGAGTGCCCCAGCCCTTGAGGTACTGGATGAAAGGGTTAAGGACATTGTCACCACTGCTGTCTATGCTTGAAAATGTACCTTGGCTGCAGGAGAAAGTAAAGGATGTGAATCATCATGAGAGACATCCACCAGCACATCCCAGAGGTAGGGGCCTAAAGCCTAGACAGGCTGGTTTTAAGATATGCTCTCTTTTCTTCTGTATATTCTCTTGACTAGCTTAGCTGGCTTCTAACTAAAGCACTAGCTTTTGTGGGTGCCATTCTTAAACCTCTCTCTCTTTTACTGGGGGTAGGTTAGGTGCTGCAGCAGTCAGCAGCCCAATGTTTTTTGGGGCAACTAGGCTCATTGCGGTGGGTCTGGAGGTTCGATAGGCTTTTTCAGGCCTGAGCTTTGTGGGAGCTTTTAGTAGAACTTGTTTCTGTGGATAAATTTTAGGCTCAAGAGCTTTTTAATCTGGATAAAACATCTTGAAAGTTTTTTGTGTATTTCCATACAATGTTCAAAAGGCAGCAGGGGAATAATTATAGCAGATAGACTGATGAACAGACCGAAAGATCTGTCCAATGGCCAACCACATGACAAGTCCAGATTTCTTTTCTGTAGGGATATGAATTTATGTGATCTTTACAGAACTAGGGTGACTTGCAATCTGTTGTCCATTGTTCTGTTCTCAATTTTTTTTTTTTATTTGCCCTCCATCCCTTAAAAATGCATTCATTACCACCTAGAACAATTTTACATTCTGCATGATTATTGGCTTCATTATGAGGTGTTCAATTGAAATTCATTGGGATGAATGTTTATGGTCTTTTATAACTAGTTATTAAGGACTGTGCCAATGAAATTGCATGGGTTCAGAAAATGCAGCCCCCTCATTCCAGTCTAGTGGATTGATGGGTTAATCAGCTCATGCACCAAGGCAGTGATTAGCTGTTTTGATGTGCTCCTGCAAAGTGCATTCACATTACAGTGCTGCCTGGAAGTAAGTGGAAGGATCAAAGAAAAGGACAACAATGTTATGAGAAGAAATTAAAAATAGACCTATAATGTGAATCACATTTACATTTTTGGCCAAGAATGATCACTATTAAGCTGCAGTCAGCCCAGAGCTGCAGATGGCATGGAGCTAGAATCATATCCAACATCTAGAGAACCACAGAGGGCTGTCCTCAAGCTATTAAATTATTGTGATTATAAGCAAGATGTTACAGGATCCTTGAACAGCATGTTGATTAAAAACCAGTTTGGGCTGCAATGGCATGAACATTTTGTTTGTTTAACTTTACTTGTGTGAATATTCCTGTTTATATCGTTGTGTGAATAAAGATAAGCAGGTGCATGAGTGTGTAGAGAATCAGGATTATTGTATAACAGTTAAAGGAATAAAAAGCCAAGAACTGCTGGATGATGTATGTACCATTTTGGAGTAGTGGTCTATCATCTATTTGTTATAGGGTGTTATATTGTTGTATGCCATGGGGTATATGAGCATCTCCTACAACACTGATACCGATAAAAATGTCCATGATGGATTAACAGAGTCTTTTCCATGGTAAAAGTTCTGTTTCGATTAGGGATTTAGATTTTTTTCCCAAGATGTTATTAATTTATTTTGTTTTTTCCCTCTTATACATTGTGTTTTGCTTCTGGCAGTGATCAATACAGCACTGTCATTAATGCACCTAGTTAATTTACCTTTGCTGTACATGATGCTGGGAAAAGGGAATATTTTTTCTGCTCTCTGTGGTTGTCATTTTATAACCCAAAGCACACAGTGTTATTGTCCTTATTGTTACTGTATAGACCTATGAGAATTAGTTGTACGTCTGTAAAATTATTGTGCAATGTTGTGTGTAAATCACAATGGTTAGATCTTTAAAACCAAATGTGAACATGCAATAAATGGGAATTTTTCACGGGGAAATTATTGCCCTCATAAATTCCATGGTTTAAAATTTACAGCAAAGCATCTTCATTTTGCTATTTTTATAGCTGATTTGCACTAAAAGTTGGTTAGTAACGGCTAATAATGAAGGGACATAAATTCCCTATTTCCCATGAGGTGGTGACTATACCCAAAAATATCCCAATATTGTAAAAACCATAATTAAGCTTGATGACTTGGTCCTTGATGCAGGAGATATGTATTCATGGGCTTCACTTTAAGTATGTGGACTGTCTTTTTGACTTTAATCTTACCCAGAAATGGACTCTAGTTGCACAGCTCAGTGAATATTTGGTGTTTACAGGGCCAGGGTATAATGACTCTTGACAGTTTCACACATGGTTAACATCTAAGAGCGAAGATTTTAAAGGGCTGAGCTCTCACTTAGACACCTAGTTGTGAAATTACTATATTTACAAAAGGCCCAGAGCTTTGCAAAATCTATTGTTCTCAATAGTGTGGCTTCACCAGTCCTAATTATGAAAGCACCAAGATTGAAGAAAGCACTGCTACCAAAACCATTTTAAGCATGGGTGTAAATCCCACCTAAATCAATATGACTTGAGCATATGCTTAAGAGTTTTGTATATTCTTGGATAAGGAGATAAGGATGATTTTTAACACATTCACTGAATAGCAAATAGCAAAGCTTTTCAGCTTGTGCTCAACTTGCGCCCAATGACACCTGGTGTTCAAAGCCAACTCAGGCTAGAAAGCAGTGCTCACCCTTTAATCATGCCATATTTAACTATCCCTTATCTTTCAACTCACATCCTGAACACAAGCCAATGAGAACAGATAGGTGTTTCAGAGTGCTGTCAAGGTCAACAAACCCTGGAGTTCTCACAACTTTCACTATAAGCCCTCTTTCCAAATAATCATAACTTACCATTTGGGTTGACCTTATCATTGCAAGATTCACCTCTAGACTGTTGTGGGGTGTTTTCCAGCAGCCACCCTAGTCCTATTTCTTCTGACTGTGGCCTCTCATAGTACCACCCTGCTCCCTTGCCCTCTCCTGCCATTTCTTCATGCACAATTTTATATGGGAGGCTGGCTGCACAATTCCAGAGTCAGCGGTGTGTGTTTTACTCTGCCCTGCTCATCATCAGGCTGAGTTGGTTGGTCCCAGTCTCTGCACTTCCTTGTTCGAGCAAGTCCTTGCTTGTTATGACTGGCCTCAGCCAACTCGTTCTCCCACTATCTCCCTCTCTCTGGGATTTACTTTTCCTTGGTCTGTAGAGCACCGCTACAGATCCTTATACCCTGAGTCATTATACCCTGGCCCTGTAAACACCAAGTTGCTGTTTGGGGCTCTTTCTTTCTTTAGTCCCCTCCTAACTATCTAACGAACCAGCCCTTTCCTGGTGCTTGCCATCTCTGCCGTCAACTGATCCCTTCAGGACCTGCGGTCTTTTCCTGCCACCAGTCTCCCTCAGGTCTGCAGTTCCACCTTCTGGCTGGTCACTCTTGGGCCGCGTATCTAGGCTCTTATTTAATCAAGATTTTGTCTTTTTTCCCCCTGTGGGCTTTGTAGCCAGCTCCTCAGATCCTCAGTCTTTGGCTCTGGCTCTATCACTAGCCCCTCCATTTAGTCCAGTAGGCATGCTTGCCTCTCAGCTCAGTCCATTGGTTTACCTGCCCCTTCAGCTCAAGCCATTGAGCCCTATGTCAGCCCTGCCTTCTACCAGTTTCTCTCGGGCTCTCTTTTCTAGCCCCCTGACTGTTAGTCTCACGTTGGCCCACTAATCAATATGTGGAATACCTTCCCAGACACCCATCATGGCCTTTTTCCTCCCCTTCAGCCACTCCCAGGCCTTATAGTAAAATGGTCCACATAAAAAAAAAAAACAACAACCCAAGCCAAATACTTAAAACCTTTTGTGTGTCTGTCTAACAGCAACCTCTTCACCCACATTTATGTTGGTTCCCTGAAAGGTACTTGCATTTGCTTGTGTATAACTGTTCAGCAGCTTGCATTTCCAGGTTCTCTTCCTTCAGAGTTCAGGGTCAGACTGGCCCAAGAGGTAGGCTGATGGTACCCTGGTCCCCCACCCCTTCTGGAACATAGTCTTCCCAACTTGGCATAGGGATTTCCTCTGAGCCCACTGATTGACCCCACTCCTCTCATTGCTGCCATCTGCTCCAATGCACTTCAGCTACTACTTAGCTGCCTGCTTGGGCTCTGCCTCTTGTGGCTTATAACAAGGACACTTGCCCGCAGACTCTTATTCGCCATATAGTAGCCCACAGCTAACCCATCTTTGTCTTCCCTTAGCTGTTTATTTTCTTGAACTGGGCCCCAAGCTGCCTGCATCAGCTGGCAGGTTGTGTCTGCAGCTCTCTCAGTCTCAAAGTAGCAGGGGTTAGGAGCCCCCGGTACACTTTCCCATGCTTCATCCCAATGTACAAGTGAATTGATTTGGAAAAAATGGAGGAAAAATCATTTTATTTGTTTTTGACTTGTGGATGGGTGAAAATAGTATGTCTTGGCAAGATTTCAAGATGGATTGACTGCTTGCTTGCTTACATCTTCAGGAAGCCACCTTCAATGCTGGAGCACCCCTTGCAGCCTCATGAATCAGGAGGCCGTAAGCATATCTCTTGGACCTCCAAGGTCTGCTGATAAAGGTTGTGCCTTCTATGGAGAGCCAGAAGTCATGGTACTGGAATGGATGCTATTCTAGCAGTAGCGTTGTTTTCCCCCTGAAAGAAAACTAATCCATATTAACAAAACAAAACAAACAAACAAAAATCATAGCTAACATAATACAAACAAAAGGCCAACTGTGGGCGGACAGTTTACAATTCATTTGCTGTCACAAATTCATTGAAGTCTTTTCTGACTAAATAATTCATATTAAAATACCAAGAGTAGAGAAAACGGGGAGGGGGAAGAAACAAATAACACATTAAAGTCTCATAAAAAAAAACAAATACAACAATGACAATGCTAATTATCCATACGATCACTGCAATTCTCAACAGACTGATTTGGTTTGAGTGGAGCTGAAATAGATGAGTTCTCAAATTGCATTTGATTTGCTTCACTTCTTCTAAATGTTGCCAGTTGAACAGAATAACAAAGTGTGTGTGGGTATCTATAAGAAAAAAAATGGTTAAAAGGCTATTACTAATGTTGCCATGTCAAGCGTTCAAAGGTTAGAAATTGCCGGCTGTCTTTAATTCAGCCTTCTTGTCCATAAGCGTTATAGTGTAGTCCTAAATTACAGGGTCATGTACTAATTTCCCCCCTAACCTCTGCCTCATTCAAGGACTAGGATGGTTCTACTCTGGAGAAGAATCAAGATTGTGTGGTAAAGAAGGTAGTTATGTGTGAAGTCTCTCCTATGCGTGTAACACGCAGTGGAAGGTGTCTGGTGAGTTAAGTGAGGAACTGTGGGAAAAAGAAAAATGCTATCTGGTAAAGTAAGTTAAAATCCTGAGAAACTGGATGTTATTTCTGCCTCTGTCAGAACTTTCATGTGAAGCTGGGCAAATGGTGTAAGCTAAGTGTGACACGGGGCCTTTCTGGGGCTAGATCTCGAGGCAGTCTACCCACTTGCCTAGGGCAGTTTGGCCTGACTCTCCTGCCATGACTTGAATGTTACTCTGATATATTAAGCTGGAGGCTGCCCATTCAATACCCCAATGCCAGGGGGCTCTATCCATGGCTCCAAACCTGCCCTACACAGTGGCCCATACCTCGTAGATAGCATCCAGAATATTATTATTGCTTCCCAGTTTCAAGCCAGTCCAAACTCAGTACGTTGTTAGGCCTCTTTCATACTCACACTCACTCTCACTCTGCCCCTTCTCACAGGGGCCTCTTGCACTCTACCCCTTGCTGGGGCACATACAACCTGCCCTGCTCCCTTGAGCAACCTCATGGCCATCAGGCTTGCCTCTGGCACAGCACAGGCAGCACTTTTGGTTCTCTTGTGCTCCCCTACTCTAGATGGCAACACCTTGTGCTGAACACTGGGTTGCTTCTGCCCCAAGTCCCTCACTGGACAACTGGTTTCACGCACACACACTTGGGGTTGGCCCAGGTACCACCCTTCAAGCCATCCTTGCAGCCCTACTCTATACCCTGCTAGCACAGTCCTTCAGGTGCCCCAGTTCCACCCTACTCTGCCCTCAAACTGCACACAACAAGATCCCTCTGGGATCTCACACCCCTGTTGGGCTCAGATGTCTCCTTATTAGTGCACCTGGCCCACACTACTCTCACCATTACCCACCAGATGGCGAGGCCCAGAGTTTAGGTGCCCCTACTCGCCTTTCATTGGGGGAGGGTGGGGTACTTGGCCTGGTATTTCTTGGGAGCTGCCCTGCCACAGACAGCCCTACCAGACCCCCTTAACCTGGCAGGGTGAAGTTTGAGGTCATGCCCAGGACCAGGAGCCTCCTCCTTCCCCAAAGCCCCTCCCCTTACCTCTGAGTTGTTCCGTGAGCAGCAGCTCAGCCTGATGTTGCCTTCTCAGCTGCAAGCAGCAGACTGCTGCTCTAGCCTGTGTGTCTCGGCCCTAAAATGATCACCCTAATCAGGCACCTGCTGGTTGTCTGCTCCCAGCCCTTAAAGTGGCAGGCAGCCAAAGGTACACTTCCACACTAAGATTTTCAGAGGTTACCTTTGTTTTTTCTGTCTGCCCAAACTGAGACCCTGGGGGAGCATTTATACATGCAGTTAGGGAGGCTGAATGGACTCCAGCATAGTACAGGTCACAGTTTATTGCTCCCAGGCAACTCACTTGCACATGTGACTTTGGGAGGGATGTGGACAACCTAGAGAGGGTACAGAGGAGGCCACTTGTATGGTAGGGGGCCTCTGTGGCCATCCCTATGAGAAGAGGCTGAGGGACCTGAATCTCTTCAGTCTCTGCAAGAGGAGACTGAGGGGGGATCTTGTGGCTGCCTACAACCTTATCAGGGGCCACCAGCAGGGACTCGGGGAAAGTCTGTTCACCAGGGCACTCCTTGGAGTCACCAGGAATAATGGCCACAAGCTGAGGGAGAATAGGTTTAGGTTAGATGTTAGGAAGAACTACTTCACTGTAAGGGTGCTCTCACCTTCCCTGGAAATCTTCAAGAGGAGACTAGACAGGCACCTGGCTGGGGTCTTATGACCCCTGCCATCCCCAGTGCTCCTTCCTGCCCATGGCAGGGTGTCAGACTAGATGATCTGTCTAGGTCCCTTCCGACTCATTGATTCTATGACTGCACCATGTTGAGTCGGAGCAGAGCAGCCCCAGTTGGCAGAGAGCTTTGGGGGTCATGCTGCCAGCCCGGGGTTGCTCCGACCCAGTTCAGCACATTGCCGAGGGGCTGGTCTGAGCATGCAGGTGCTCCAATCTGGGGCTAGCCAGCAGGCAGCCCCTGAACTGAAGCACCCCTGTGCCCAACCAGCCCTGTTAGAGTCTACATGGGGGTTGCAGCACACTAAATAACGCTGCTGTAGGATAATATTTGTGGTGGGCAGTTCTATCCTATGGCAATGTTTATTAGTTTACTGCGGCTTAATAGTACTGCATGTGTAGACATTGATGATTTACTGTGGAGCTAATTAGTCAGCTGACAAGTGCATAGGTCCTGGGGTCAAGGGATGAAGCTAAGGTTTCCTTTCCCCAAAGCCGTATGCTGAGAATGGGTCTGATGAGGAACGTACACCCAAAGATCTGGGCAGGCCAGGGAAACTGGTGGTGGTTTATGGAATATGTGGAGCTGCTGTTTATCTGTGGAGGGGAGGGAGGAGGAAGATCAACAGCATGACTGTCCCTATTTGTGTATTGCCTGTTAACTAGCTAATGGGGATAAACACAGTAATCCTTCATGTTTGTGATGGAATGGTTGTGTTCTGTCTACAAATAACAGAAATCAACTTTTCAATTTCAGTTCAGGCTGAGTAATACCCTAGTCTCGACTGGAGAAAAAATAATGCAAATATTTGTCATTTTCAATTCATGCTAAGGATCCACAGACTTGCCAGTCAAGTGTTCTGTATGATTAACTCTTCTATACCAGCATTGGTTTTGAGAAACATTGGAAACTGCCAAATACTGATGGCAGAGCTTTTCTTGACAGAGCATTTCTCAATAAGAAGGTCCATCTAAATTAAAAATGTCCATCCCATAGAACAAAATAAATCCTATAATTCTCTTAAGCTGGGAAAGTTATAATTATATCCATAAGCCAGCCAGATGTACCAACTAATGTCTTTCAGACATGAATGCTGAAGTGCAAACTAGCTAGAAATGCCCATACATCCAATTATGGCTTAACTGGACTTTATGTGGTAAAAGACTAGTTAACACAGAGTGGTATAAAAGTTCTCTTTACACAGTATATTTCAAATTAGATTTTCAACCATGCTATGGGCCTCATCATCAGCTGTCTCAGACCTTGTTCTCTCACTTGTAGCTATGCTAAGGCTCAGAATATTTCTATTCTCCATGATGGCAGAATTTACAGATCACCCCCTATCTGTGAAAGACAGCATTGGTCTGTATTCCAAATTCCAATTCTCAAAATTGTTGTCATACAATTGTCTGCCCCCTAAATAGCGTGTATTTAATTTGTATATGCATAAATATATGAAAAGTGGATATTGGTGAAAACAGATGGGGGAACTCTATACACAAATGGTACAGAGGTCTCTATACACAAATGTGTTGAATGTTGACAGCAGCTGTGAGCACAAATTGGCTATGAGCTTCTGAAAATCAGAATCCCATTGATTCATTTGGGTCAGAGAGTGTTTACTAAAATATCTTTTGGGCAAACACGGTCTGGCGGATGAATAATACTGCTGGGAGAAATTAAGTGTAAAAGAAAGTCAACCTTTTAATTGAGTTATATAAAAAGCTTCCTTTTCATATATAGAATCATAGAAAATTAGGGTTGGAAGGGACCTCAGGAGGTCATCTAGTCCAACCCTCTGCTCAAAGTAGGACCATCCCCAACTAAATCATTCCAGCCATGACTTTTTCAAGCTGGACCTTAAAAACTTCCAAAGATGGAGATTCTACCACCTCTCTAGGTAACTTGTTCCAGTGCTTCAACCACCCTCCTAGTAAGAGTGTTTTCCTAATATTCAACCTAAACCTCCCTTGCTGCAACTTCAGACCACTGCTCCTTGATATGTCATCTGTCACCACCCAAAACAGTCTAGCTCCATCCTCTTTGAAACCACCCTTCAAGTAGATGAAAGCTGCTATCAAATCCCTTCTTAGGCTGCTTGTACACACCATGGGGGATAATCCTCATTAAATTAAATAGTTTAATAAAATTTAAACTTGTTTATTTTGGAGTGTTGCATCACTATTTCCACACACTAGGTTTTTGAATGAATTAAGCTTTGGAGCATTGCATCAGCATTTGCACGCACTAGGTTTTCAAATGAATTAAGCCTGGTCCCCAGCAGGTGCCACAGGAGAGTGGGATGGTCCAACACTGCCCTCACGGCCCATGGCCCTCCACCCCAATGCCCTGCCACATAGCTGTGGAAGCAGGGAGCCAGCAAAGGGCACAAGAAAAAAAACCAAACAAACAAAAAACGGAAGCCATTCAAAAGCAGAAGCAACTAGAAGGGGTGAACCCCCCAAAAATTGTAGCGCCATCTGGTGGACAAGGAGGTTCATTACATATTTTTGAGTGCCTTTGTGTTTGCATGCAATGAATCCATGGACAGTATGCTTTAATTTGTGGTGAGTCAAACTAAGTTACATCTGAGAAGTTTTACTTCAATGCGTCAGAAAGACTTTTAAAGTGTCTGGAAAACTTGCTCGTGCAAACAGTCATGTCGTTGCAGCACAAGAAAGGGCAAAAAACATGGCATGTACAAACACCCTTAATCTTCTCTTCTCCAAACTAAAAAAACTCAGTTCCTTCAGCTTTTCCTCATAAGTCATGTGCCCCAACCCCCACCCATTTTCACTGCTCTCTGCTGGACTGTCTCCAACTTGTCCACATCCTGTCTATAATGGGGCCCCAAAACTGGACACAGTACTCTAGATTGGTCTCACCAGTGCAGAATAGAGCAGAATAATTACTTCACTTGATCTACTGGCTATGATTCTGCTAATGCAGCCCAGTATGCTGTTAGCCTCTTGGCAACAAGGGCACACTGCTGGCCATCCACAGAGCCAGTTATCTAATAGAAGGCAGGCAGTATGGTCAGATATGACTTGTCTTTGGTGAATCTATGCTGACTGTTGTTAATCACCTTTTCCTCTAAGTGCTTAGAAATGGATTCTTTGAGGACCTGCTCCATGATTTTTCCAGGGACTGAGGTGAAGCTGATTGGTCTATCAGTCCTTGGATCCTCTTTCTTCCCTTTCTTAAAGATGGACACTACATTTGCCCTTTTCCACTTGTCTGGGACCTCCCTGGATTGCCACAAGTTTTCAAAGATAATGGCCAGTGACTCTGCAATCATATCAACCAACTCCCTCAGCACCCTCAGATGCATTGTATCTGGCCCCATGGACTTGTACATGTCCAGCTTTTCTAAATAGTCCCTAACTTGTTCTTTCACCATGGGAGGCTGCTGACCCTCCTCCAAACTGTGATGTCTGGTGCAGTAGTCTGGGAGCTGACCTTGCCTGTCTCGAGTGTGGTAAAAAAAGGCATTGAGCACTTCAGCCTTTTCCTCACCATCTGTCTTGGTTGCCTCCCCATTCAGGAAGGGACCCACACTTTCCTTGACCTTCCTCTTGTTGCCAGCATACTTATAGAAACCCTTCTTGTCACTCTTCACATCTCTTGCTAGCTGCAACTCCAGTTGCACTTTGGCCTTCCTGACTTCATCCCTGCATGCCCAAGCAATATTCTTATACTCCTCCCAAGTTGTTTGTTCAAGCTTCCATGTTGTTTGTATAAGCTCCATTTCTGTGTTTAAGCTCATTGAAGAGTTCTCTACTAAGCCAGGGTGGTCGCTTGCCACATTTGCTATTCTTCAAGCACATCAGGATTGCTTGTTCCTGTACCCTCAGTAAGGATTCTTTAAAATACAACCAGCTCTCCTAGACTCCTTTACCCCTCGGACTGGCCTCCAAGGGGATATCATAGGATAGGATTTTTTTTTTCCTGTAGTATAGGCATTTTCAGGATTTGAATTAATGTTCTGTCATACATTGGGAGCAAATCAATCTAAAATTTCTCATGAATAGAAAAGTTCATACGATCATAGGAAAGTAGGTCTGGAAGGGACTTCATGTGGTCACCTAGTTCACGCCCCTGCTGAAGGTAGGATCATCACCAACTAAACCATCCCACCCAAGTGTCTGTCCAAGCTGCTCTTGAAAACTTCCAAGATTGGACATTCCTCAACTTCTGTAGGTAGCCTGTTCTAATTTTTGACCACCCTCATCAGAAAGTTCCTCCTAATCTCCAAGCTAAATTTCCCCTGCTGCTGCCTGAGGTCATTGCTCCCATCTCTCTTCTAATATAATAAAATTTGTACTAATTCTGTCTGTGTGTCTGTCTGTCCATAATGTTACCTAGGCTTCCACAAGGCAGGAAGCAATTGGCCTGGAGCATTAGGGACAAACAGACAGACAGACAGGAAGGGAGGTGGTTGTGGGATGGGTGGGGGGCAGCAGGGCGGGGCCATGGGAGGGGGTGTTGCACAGGATTTTCCTTTGCTATGGGGGTCGGAGCAGGGGGAGGGCAATGGGAGGCAGCAGGGAGAACGCACAGACCTGCCTGGAGCTGCAGAGGCAGCAGACCCATGTGGAGCTCCCTGCTGGCTCTGATCACTTCCCCCTCTCCCACCCCAGGAGCACAGCAAAGTCCCGGACATTTGGGCAGGAGCAGGAGCTGCAGCTGCAACAGGGCAGGGGGAGGGAAGGTTGCCTGCCCCTCCAGCAGAGGAAAGGGGCAGGGGGGCCTGGAGGGCAGTGGAGAGCTCTGTGGCCAGGCAGCAGCACAGGCCCCACTGCCTGGGGAGAAGGAGAGGGAGAGGGCCTTGGCCAGGCTGCCCACAGGGTACTGCAGCCCCATCCCAGGGTGAGGGTCCCACAAGCCTCCCCTTGTCTTCCCTCCAGCCCATGTTGGGGCCAAACATACATGAATCAGAGCCACTGTGCTCCAGCCCAGGCAGGACAGGGACAGCTGGGCCCCTCCAACAAGGTTGGGGGAACAGGGTGCTGCAGGTTGGGCATGTGGGGCATTGGGGTGGGGGACTGTGGGTTGGAACTGCGGGGGGCAATGGCAGCACCAGGGGGCTGTGGGTTGGGAGTGAGGGGCACTGGCTGTCATGGGGGTGCAGGGGTGCAGGGTGGGAGTAAGGGGCACCAGCAGGGCCCAGAAGGGCAGGGTACAGCAGTTTGGTGAATGAGGGGAACTGACAGGGCTGGGGTCAGTGGCTTGGGAGTGAGGGGCAGCTTCAGGGTTGAGGGGGCTGTGGCTTGGGGTGGGGGCAGGGAGCTGTGGGTTGGGAGTATGGGGGGCACTGGCAGTGCCAGGGGGCTGTGGATCAGGAGTGGGGGGACACCAGCAGGGATGGGTGTGATGGGAGTGAGGGGCATCAGCGTGTGGGTGGAGGATTGTTCATGGCAGGCAGACTGTGTGTGTCTTTGGGTGTACAGTGCATGCTTGTCTGTGTGTGTGCATGCATGTGTCTGTGTGTGCGTGCATATGCATGCATGCATCTGTGTTCATGGCAGGAGAGAGACTATGTTTGTGTCTGTGTGTCCATGTGCAGAGAGTGAGTGAGTAGAGTGCGCACTCATCTGCATGTGTGTGTTTTTGTACGCATGTGTCTGTGCGTGCGTGCATGTGTCAGTGCATGTGCATGCATGAGTGTGCATGACTGTGTCTGTTCATGGCAGGGAGAGTGTGTGTGTGTCTGTGTGTCCATGTGCAGAAAGTGAGCGAGTAGAGTGTGTGTCTGTCTGACTGTGTGCATGCATGTGTGTGCTTGTGTGTGTCAGTGCATATGTGTGTGCGTGCACGTGTCTGCATTCATGGCAGGAGGGAGAGTGTGTTTGTGTCCATGTGTCCATGTGTAGAGAGTGAGTAAGTAGAGTGTGCGACCATCTGCGTGTGCGCGTGCATGTGTCTGCGTGTGTCTCTGTGTGTCTGTGCATGCATGCATGTGTGTGCATGCATACATCTGTGTACATGGCAGGAGGGAGTGTGTTTCTGTCTGTTTGTGCCTGTGTGTGTGTATGTTTGGCCATAGTGGGAACGGGGGGGGGGGAGGGAAGGGCAACAAGCAGGGAGAAGAGGTGGCATGTGCCCCCCCCCCCCATTCCCAGCAGGTTCCCCCCAATCTCCCTCACCAGCACCAGGAGGGGAAGGGTCCCTGCCCCATCCATTCCCCCTCCCTCCCCCACAGCCCAGCTCCCATGGAGGGAGAGGGCCTCCAATTTTGTGTTTGCCCGGGGCCCCGTACACATTAATCTGCCTCTGGGCATGAGGGCAGACATGGAGAGGCAGGCGGGGGAGCGGGGCCCATAA